TGAAGCGAAAATCCAAACCCAAATCGAACATCACCTGCATGTCCTCCTACAACAACAACACAACAACACCAACCCCAGCCACGGATCGGTTAATCTCGGCCGTCGCATACACTCTCCCTTTCTTCAACTCCCTCCAGTACGGGCGTTACCTCTTCTTCCAGTTCCCCAAATTGGGGCTTCTCTTCGAGCCCTTAATCCCGTTATTGAGCCTCTACAGGTCGATGCCCTACTCGAGCTTCGTGGCCTTCTTCGCCCTCTATCTGGGAGTTGTCAGAAACCCTAGCTTCAGCCACTACGTGAGGTTCAATGCGATGCAGGCGGTGACCTTGGACGTGCTGTTGGTTCTGCCCCTGCTCATCCAGAGGATATTCAGTCCGGGTCGGGCCGGGTTGGGGTATAAGCTGATGGTTTGGGGGCATAATGGTATTTTCGTATTTAGCGTGTTCTGCTTTGTGTATAGTGTGGTGAGTTCCATTTTGGGTCGTACTCCCTACTTGCCCTTTGTTGCTGATGCCGCTGCCAGGCAGCTCTAAACTTGTGACGCGCATCCGCCATCCGCCATCCGCCATGGTTTTGCCTTTGTTGGTGTATAATTTCATTTCATAATTTTAGCTGCTCAATTCAATTTTAGAACCGCTTTTCAATTACTATCTCACCTGTTTCCGGTAAATTAAGGTCGAACGATTGATGCTTCTGTGTATGTTATGTATTATGTATGTGACCAAGAGAGATCATCATTACGACCAAATAAGAGAGAGATCATCAATGATAATTTTTTGCATTTTGCTGTTTTATAGTTGAATTTGCGTATTTTATGGTTTCCCAAATGAATTTTCGCATTTATTCACTCATGTATTTTTGCATTTTTGGGTTTCACTCTGGAATATTTGCATTTCGTGGTTTTACTAATGCATTTTTACAATTTTTGGTTTCATGAATAAATTTTCCCATTTTAGGATTTGTTAATGATTTTTCGGGTATCAGGGAATGAATTTTGGCATTTTAGGGTTTCGCTAATGAATTTTTTTATTTTGGGGTTTTGCCAAATGAATTTTCGCACTTTGACCCCGTTTGGTACATGAGAAAAGAGGCTTGGGGATGGAAAATCAATTGCTTTTCTATGTTTGGTAAGTCCAGGCATGTGAAATGATTGTCTATCACATAGAAAAGTAGGAGGGAAAGTGAAGCCCTCCTCCCAACTTAGGTTTTGTTTTCCCTCCTTATGGGAAAGTTTGGAAAAATGAGCTAACTTTAAATGCACATTTTTCATGACCATTTTGTCCCCATTAACGATTTAAAATTACAATATATCATTAAATGCTTTTTTTTTTTTTTTTGGGATGTAATATGGGTATAATTGGAAAATTATATAGACATTATTTTCCATTCCTACTCAAAATAAATATGGGAAATGAAATAAAGTGATATCTCTCCGTTACTTTCCAGGTATTATTAAACGTGGGAAATGAAACTTCCATTTCTCATCCATTGGGATATGACAGAGGAAGTGATTTCTCCTGAAATATGTTCCGTGAACCAAACGAGGCCTTTGGGGTTTTCGTAATGGGTTTTCGAATTTTGATGTTTGATATTCATTCATGAAACTCCAAATAATTTTTCGAATTTGGGGGTTTTCGCTAAAGAATTTTCTCCTTTTTAACATTTCACCATATGAATTTTCTGAAATTGGGGTTTCGCTAATGAATTTTCGCATTTTAGGGTTTCGCACTTTGACGTTTCCATAATGGATTTTTGAATTTTGATGTTTGAGATGCGAAAATCTATTAATGAAACCCCGAAATACGAAAATTCCTTACCAAAACCCCATAATGGCAAAATTTAATCATGATACCCAAAAATGTGAAACTTCATTACTGAAACCTCAAAATGTGAAAGTTCATTACCAAAATCTTGAAATAGGAAAACTCATTCATGGTACCCCAAATAATTTTTTTGCATTTTAGGGTTTTGCTAATGAATTTTTTCATTTTGAGGTTTCACCAAATGAATTTTCTCATTTTGGAGTTTCGCTAATTTGTATTTTAGGGTTTCGTCAAATGAATTTTCGCACTATGTGGTTTCCGTAATGGATTTTCAAATTTTGATGTTTGAAATGTGAAAATTCAATCATGAAACCCCAAAATGTGAAACTTTAAAATGTGAAACTTTATTACCGAAACTTTGAAATGCGAAAATTCATTATCTAAACCCTAAATGTTCATGAAATCACAAATAATTTTTTGTATTTTAGGGTTGCGCTAATGAATTTTCACATTTTAAGGTTTCACCAAATGAATTTTTGCATTTTAGTGTTTCGCCAATTGAATTTTTGCACGCTGTGTTTTCCGTAATGGATTTTCAAATCTTGAGGCTTGAAATGCAAAAGTTCATTACCAAAACCTTGAAATGCAAAAATTCATTCATAAAATCCCAAAGTGTGAAAATTCATTATCGAAAGCCCAAGTGCAAATATTCATTCATGATATGCCAAATAATTTTTTGCATTTTGAGGTTTCGCTATTCGCATTTAGGGTTTCACAAAATGAAATATCTCATTTTTGGTGTTTCACTAAATGAATTTTTGCACTACTGGATTTCCGTAATGGATTTTTGAATTTTGATGTTTGAAAGGCGAAAATTCATTATTGAAACCCCAAAAATATGAAATTTCATTATTGAAAACTCCATAATGCGAAAATCTAATGATGAAACTCCAAAATGTGAAACTTCGTTAGCAAAAGCCCAAAATTAGGGGTGTGCAAGATCCAATCCAATTTTAATTGATTTCAATGATTTGGCTAATTACATTGGATTCCTAATTTCCAAAATCGACATGATTGAATCGAATGAGGAATTTGCTTGTGAGAATTCATTCATATTGCCCCAAATGCAAAAATTCATGATTTAATTAGTTTCATGTTTATTTTCATATTTTGGAGTTTCAATAATGACTTTTCCCATTTGAGATTGCCCCAAATGCAAAAATTCATCATAAACCCGAAAGTGTGAAAATTCATTCCTTCGCATTTGGGGTTCTTCCATTCCTTCGATCATTATAGTCATTTAAGAATTTAGATTTGGCATAACAATGCGTTTCCAAATTTTAGGGAAAGTTTATTGTGTCAACGAGAGAGAACTATAAGCCAGAGAAAGCTTTTTGGTTCTGTTTTTTGGCCTGAAATTATTCGGAGTAATTCACCAAATTCTTTCACCTTCGAATTTCTACAATTTTAATTCCGAAGAATTCACATCCGTTCCGTTCTGAATCCCATATAATACTTTTAATTTTGCGTAGTTAATTCTGCTTCATTTCTTGCTTGCCTGCCAGGACCACAAGATTTCATGATTTCCTTTGGCTACATTCTCTCTCACTCAAACCAAGACATTACTGTAAATTTACTAAAATAGTCTCACACAAAAGTAGTACCCCCAAAAAAGAAAAAATAAACACAATTACCAATTGCAGAACTCTTGATTCAAGAAAAAAAATGTTGACAGTTACATGTGTTGGTCAATTACATTGCCTCATGGGGTCTGCGAGACCACATATATTATGGGGTCAATTGAATTTTCTTAACTCCAAGACGGGCCACACATCGTTAGCCGCTCACTCCGGCAAGCACATAACACGTAAAACAGATGGAGAGCAACAATCTCACAGCAATCATTTTAAATCCTCACAATAACTAGCAGTCCCACCAAATGCACACGACCACCGAGATAAACGAAACCAAATCATATACTGCACAAGATTACTTTGGCAGCGACAAACTTCCCTCTTCCTAAAATTCTTGAACAGCTTTTGTCCTCTTCAACGCAAGGATTGATGCTAATGATGAGTTAAGGTTCAGGTTCAGCCACCAGAACCATTTCCCACCTCATTCCATATCGATGGATTAAACTAAATGATTTATATCTTAAATTGAAGTCGAATTTCAAGATAGCAAGGGTAACTACTTCAATGACAGCCACTCTTCGATGGCCAAAAATTACATCCAAATATGAAGCAAAATGCAAATACCATCTTAAAACAGAGTAAAACATACCTCTCAAACATACCTCTTAAACACGAAGTTGAGAAAAACTAAGCAGCAGTCCTTACATCCATCACAGGTCAAACAGCTCAACTCCAGAAAAGAAACAATATCGAAAAAGAAACACATAAAATCATCTTGGTACACGAGTTTTAAAACTGACCTAGACAAGAACACAAATTATGCTTTTGCCACATGCTCCATAGCAAGGATGACCTAGTACCGATCATAACGCCTGCAAGAACAAATTATTATATCAGGTGATCATCAACTAAAAGGTATCCAAATTTGCATATACATATGACTTGGTCACAATCACACATACAAGACCAGGCGAAATCAGCAAATTAACAAAATCCCTATGATAAGCATTTACAACATATCACCCCAAAAAAAAGACATGTTATGGTTGGCTACATAAACTTGTAAGAGCATCTCCAACCGATGTGTCAAAAGTGCCACATAAGACATTTAACAACTAGAAATAACATCTCACATCACTCCAACCGATGTGTCAAAGTTGATGTGGAATGAAGGTTGGAGGTTGAGATGTTATTTTTGACATCCCAAAAGCAAGATGTCAAATGAATATTTTATTATTATTTTTCTTTTCTTTTTAATTAAAAATAAATTAACACTAAAATGTAATAAAATAATAATTTAATTTGACACATTGGGTGGAGTGTAAAGCTGTGTAAGATGTCAAATTGCCACATCAGCCATCAAATTTAAATTTGATGTTTGGTATTTGACATCTCCCTTGGAGATGCTCTAAGCTGGCCATAGTAATATGACGAGCTTCAAATTCACGGCCATCTCACAAAAAGGTAGCAACTCTCTTGACAGATGTGGACAATGACAAAACGGGAAAGAATTTCCAAAGGTTTTGAAAAGAAGGCACAAAATTTTGAAAGCAATGCTTCAAACTACCAGTACAAGGTATGCAAGGCACTCACACTTAGTTACAATTAAAGGCTTCGACTAGAAAACACACTAGGTCTATTTCAAAGTAAAAAAGAAGCTGATGATTCTTTTTTTCACAAAATTGCAAACACAGACAATTATTTTCTAAAATTAGCTCTAAATGAACTTTCACGTGCGCTTTTTTATGAGGATGCTGAGAACAGAATTATTTCCACCAGACTGGCACTTAAATCATTGCATGATCTTGAAACATTTGAAAAATGATATTAAAATCATTGCACAAAGTTACTTTAATCCTTTATCAAACAAAGAGAAGCATGTATGTCAAATGAATAGACACTTTCAAAAATGGCCACCATAGAAGAGTACGCACCTGTGGCGATCATAATCCCTGGAACGCTCCCTTGATCGTGAGCGTGACCTACGGCGACTTCTCGAATCATAATTGCGGGAGCGATCTGAATCTCTGTCACGCTCGCGATCATATCCGCGATCTCGATCATAATACCTATCACGATCTCTGCTCCTACGATCATGATCCCTACCTCGGTCGCGGCTATCTCCTCGTTCCCTATCCCTACTTGATTCCCTGTCGCGTTCCTTACTTCGCTCTTTTGATCTACATGGAAAATAATTAAAGAATAAAGATTTATATTTTATAGAAGCTTCATGTAAAGGGTACATTTTGGAAAAAACTTGTATTTCTTTAATTAAAAACAAGAACATTAAGAGTTACCTCCTATCCTCAGCCCGATCAACCTTGCGAATCTTGTTTCTCTCTTCCTGAAAATTGAATAACCAAAAAAGTACAATTGACACCCATTTGTTAATAGAATGACATGAAATAACAAATCACTTGATGGAGAGAGATAACATGCCCTGCTTCAAAGGTGCATAATTGGTAAGCAAAGAATCATAGCAAGTGAAGATGCTCATTAATATAGTCAATTTGTAGAATCAATAAAGGGCTGAGATTAGAATATCACTTGGACAACCATCAACCTCCCTTTTTCAAAAGTCAAGTAATCTATCTTCATTTTATTATTATAATAAGGCTTAAGTGCTACAGTGCCCCTTGAAACATTGGTCAATTCCCACTAAACCCCCTTAAAGTTAAAGTGACCCACTTTGCCTCCTTAACTGATGTTTTGTGTCTCACTTTGCCCCTCACCATTAAATCTGTTAAAAATTCCGATAAAAATGCTGAGGTGGCACCAATGGGACCCAGTATTTTGCTAAACTAAGTGCCATGTGTGAAGAAAAAAAAAATTGTCTTTTAAAAAACTTAATTTAACTACTAAAAATAAAAAATTATACTTTAAAATCTGTGTTTTTGGTACCTTGACAGCAATCTAGCACAAAACCTTATTCCCATTTACATCAAATCTTATCAGTCTGCCTAAAATCAGATCTCCAAGCCAAACTTCCATCCATTCTTCTCAAGGAGAAACTCTCCACCATCACATAACAGCCAAACTTCCTCCACCCATTCTCACTTGTAATCTCTTCTACCCTCTCCACTCTCACATTCATTTCATCCCCATTAATCCATCCTCCTGCCTCTAAAACTCATCTCATATTCTGAACAATTGCTGAACCCAAACCTACACTCACCACTTTCTTGCTATGTGGGTTATAAGCTTTGAACCAGGTGAACCCAGTATGGCCATTCCTATCGTCCTTCACCATTGTTCAGTATATAGGGGTTTACCACTCTGACAGAAGATCTGATCTTAAAGGTGAGTTATTTTAAATCAAACCACTCTGCAACAGTTTTTGAAGGGATTAGGTTTTAACATTTGATTATTTTGCAGGGATTTTGTAAAGGCCATAGATGATTTTCATGAGAAGTACTGTATTGGAAAAGGAGGATTTGGAAGAGTATACAAGGCAGAGTTGCTCTCAGGTCAAGTTGTCACAGTTAAGAGGCTTAACTTTGGAGATTGATTGCTGGAATGTCGTAAGATTTTGACAAATTAAGCCTCTTAACTGCGACAACTCGACCTGATAGCAACTCTACCCGTCTGTTTCGTCGACCTCCAGCGAGGATCCACCCCAATTCCTCTTTTCTTTGGAACACTATTTGATGACTGTTGCATATTCTTAGGGAGGAGGCTGGGTTTTGGGTCTGCGAGAGAGGAAGAGGGAGGAGCAGTCGAGGGTGGTTGTGGTGGTGGTGATGGCAACTGGGAAGGGATAATGGGGTTGGAGGAGGGGAATTTGGGATTTTTTTGGTTTTAAAGTATTATTTTTATTTTAATAGTTAAATTAAAAAAAATTAACGACAATTTTTAATTTTTTTTTCTTCACACATGGCACTTAGTTTAGTAAAATAGTGGGTCCCATTGGTGCCACATCAGCATTTTTAACAAACTTGACTATGGGGGGCAAAGTGAGACACAAAACATCTTTCAAATGGGCAAAGTGGGTCACTTTAACTTTAAGGGGGTTTAATGAGAATTGACCAATGTTTCAAGGGGCGCTGTAGCACTTAAGTCTTATAATAAATGCAAAATCTACAAGGTGACTACAACCAAATGGGTGTATACATTTCATTCTCATAAGTACACAAGCTATGATCCAACCTAAGCCAAAAATGAAAAAGATGTTCGAAAAATTATACTCACAGATACCATATTATGAGAATCTCTATAGATTTGAAACACTACCAGAGCACCTGAACCAACAGTTTCAGAATACAAACTTAAAACAATTCAGACTTTCCAGGTAAAATTGTAATACTTCGATAATATATTTTCAGACATACTTTGCCTGAAATGCTGGAAACACATTTTTCAAAACAATGTACATTAGTGTACAAAAGTCAGTGTTCATCTGCCCATTTTTTACCCCCAACAGATATATATTTATGAAACAAGCCCAAGAGAAATATATATCATTACAAAGGAGCATCATACCTGCAGCTCTGCTAACTTCTCACGGATTTGCATATAGCCTAAATGAAGCTTCCCGCCAAAGTGATCCGCTAAACGACGGTCACTGAAAACAACAAAAAGAATCAGAATATTTCATTCAATTCAAACATGCAATAGCCCAAACAGGTTATGTTCATGTACGGTACAGATTCCACATAATTTTTCTAGCCAACAATAGCATGATCTACAAACATAAAACAGAAAAAGACGCACATTCTGTAGCTGCAAAAGTTATCCTCGTAAAACTGGGCACAAGAGCCTGCTGGTGACAAGGAGGTATAATCGTTGGGTCAAAAGCTGAAGCACTTGAAACCCCAAATACTAATTTTATGTATACCCAGAAAAGCTAGAAACTAGAGTAGCAGGCATGATTATTCAAAATCAAACTTTACCTGTCATAAACACTCAAAAATGCTCCACAGATGTCACAAACACGTAGCTTTTGATCAGTCTGAAACAACACCATAATTTACAAGTTAAGGGACACTCAGCAGTGAAATGAATAAGCAAATAGTTGGACCCTATTACAGGAAATTCTTGCAAGAGTATCAAACATTATCATGGGCTTTTCATTATTTCTTTATTCTACATACAATCTGAAAGTAACACTTGGTGAAATGCACACCTAGATGTAGACAATCCATTCAATTTTAATGTTTAGACAACAAAGAGGACAACAAAGAAGTTTACAAGTGTAGCATGAAAATCAATATCCCACTTCTTCTAACCATAAAGTGTCGGGACAACAACTATGAGTACTTTCTATGTGAGAATGTAAGTGTTATGAAGTAGATTCTTTTGTTGTTACCAATAAATTGATAGATGGAGGAAAAATGAACTCACAATGCGCACATCAGCAGCAGTGTACTTAGAGGAATCCAGGATAGGCTCCTGTCTGGCAGGCAGCTAAAGAGAAGAAATGAACAGTCACTCACCAATCATTGAAAGAAAAACAAAAAAGCACAGCAAATGCAAAACTCAGAACAAAAAGAAGGATATTAAAAAAGGTTGCAAAACAGGTGAACCACTTAATACAAAACAATATTATTTTATTTAAGAATACCTTCTTCAGTGCTTCAGCCTCTTCCAGCGCTTTTTGTGCCTCATCAACCATTCCTTGCTCACCTGAAGATGGCAAAGAACTTTAGGGACTATACGTAACCTGATTTCTAGAAAAACAGAAAACTAGCCCAATATATACACACAGCATTAATTAGTAAACCACTTGACAAGCCATAAATCACTTGAAAAGATAAGGTAATGGAGCAAGTCCTTTCTCTCAAATTAATAAAAAAATATAATGTATTCTCACTTAGTAAACCACTTGACAAGCCAATCCAAATAATTTGAGTAGGTATTCACTTACCAAGGTCCTCTGCCTTCTTCAACTTTTCATTTATCATTTCCTGTGTTCGGGCATCGGGAACAACTACAGGCAAGGGTGCCAAAGGTGGCGGGTTTGGCAGGGGTTGAGGTAAGGATGCCCTATCCTTATTGAAAGCATCCAAAAGAAGCATGGACTAAAACAAAATAAAAGTATATGTCAGAGAGCTGACAAACTTGTCAACAAGTTATCCAGATTAAGGAATAATACACTGGAACAGCAAGAAAACATTCAGTTTGTACATATACAAATGAATTTCTCAGCAAGTAGATATTTGGTACCTGTTTATCTGCTCTCTTGCCTCTGAGTTCGTCTACTATCTCCATAGCCCGAATCTTAAGATCTGTCTTGCCTTCAAGATCTGCAAATTTACGTCAACAATTTGAATCAGAAAATTGATTTGAATCAGAAAA